TACTATTTCCTCTCTTAATTTCTACATAACACACATAACTGTTTAAATCAAAAAATGTAACACTGTTTTGTGAGTTGTCTCATGTGTGGACATGTAACATATAGAACAACTATGGCATAAAGAATGAGGAGGGGAGCAAGTGCACCTATACAAGTGCAAGGTTTCTTGAATTTATGTGGAATGAAACCTTGATGCTAACTAGCCTGTGAAAAGTTACGAATGCACAATGTAATCTTTAGAACTACTAAAAAAAAATTATTAGAATCTGAATGCCATCATAACTTATATCAAAGACAGTAACTATCACTTCAGTCAAATCTAAGGAAGTAAATACATCTTGGCCCAACAGCATCACCATTGACATTACACTCTTAGTAAAATACTTTTTGTGTTGTTTCTTTCCAAGACATTGAGTGTTGGTTTTAATTGTGTCGCAGGCAGAAATTATAATAGTTCAAGGGGATCTGTAAAGCACTGATTTAGTCACACAGTGACAAATTCCTCATTTCATTTGGATTACTAAGAGAATTTTCTATCAACATTTCCCATAAGGGCATGTATACAAGTATTTCCCACACAATTATTTATAGTGAAGGGGGGAGAAGATGTAATGTGGAAGAGTGGACAATAAAATGTTAATAGTTTCAATGAAGCATTGAAAGGAGTTAGAAATAACAGACTACATGTACACGTGGCAACATGAGTATATCTTATTAAATATAACAATGAAAAAAAAAAACATGACAAAGATTGGATTGAAAACTCTAAGACCATACTTTTTTTTTTTTTTTTTTTTTTTAAATTTTTTTTCAACGTTTATTTATTTTTGGGACAGAGAGAGACAGAGCATGAACGGGGGAGGGGCAGAGAGAGAGGGAGACACAGAATCGGAAACAGGCTCCAGGCTCCGAGCCATCAGCCCAGAGCCCGACGCGGGGCTCGAACTCACGGACCGCGAGATCGTGACCTGGCTGAAGTCGGACGCTTAACCGACTGCGCCACCCAGGCGCCCCTAAGACCATACTTTTGAGATAAATTACAAATGTACTCTCAGTCAACGACAATACACATCTTACAGGAACACAAAGTAATTCCTATAAACATATTAGAACGATTGCTTGTGGGGAAAGCAAAGAGAGTGCAGAAGGAGAGAAGCAGAGATAGATGATCTAGAAAAAAAGAAAGATAAATAAAAAGAAACATAGCCCTGCATTGAACAAGGATAATGTACCATGAAATAAATAACTCTACCCCTTTACCTAAGGTCCTCCAAAAAAGAACAGAAAAAGAAAAAAGCAATTGAATTTTCTGAATGTTTTTTCCCCTCTTTCTTCTGCCCTTCCCAGCTCAGATATCTAGGATTCACTCCCACACTAGTTTTTTTTTGTTTTGTTTTGTTTTTTTTAATTTTTTTTTTTTCCAACGTTTATTTATTTTTAGGACAGAGAGAGACAGAGCATGAACGGGGGAGGGGCAGAGAGAGAGGGAGACACAGAATCGGAAACAGGCTCCAGGCTCTGAGCCATCAGCCCAGGGCCTGACGCGGGGCTCGAACTCCCGGACCGCGAGATCGTGACCTGGCTGAAGTCGGACGCTTAACCGACTGCGCCACCCAGGCGCCCCACTCCCACACTAGTTTTATAACTTAAGTGGATGACAGGTTTTATGAAAGGTCCATCCAACTATACCGTGGTGGTAACTCTTTGCAATTAAAATTGAGAGCACAGTATGTACAGGGACCAGTGCATACAGTCAGATCTCAGCACCTACCCATTCCTAAAACCAAATGAGAGAGTTTAGTAAATTGATTATTGTTGTTTACCCCACGAAAACCTGGGGTAATTTTTTTGCAGCAGTGAATAATCAGAACTATTTGTAGCCTCTTTTACTGAAGATTCAAAGAGTATTCCTAACACGATGCAATTTATGCCTTTAATGCCTTTCCCAATGATAGATGCTTCTATTCTGTCACCTTAAATTTGAGCATGCCAGTGACCTTAAGGGAAATGATGCAGTGTAGCTTCCAAGGTTTGAGGTGGTTGCTCTTGGAACCCAGCCTCCATGCTGTGAGGAAGCCCTGACCACCTGGAGAGGCCATGAGGAGGGATTCAGCTGGACAACCCCAGCTGAGAGTCAACATCAACTACGTCAACTCACTACCACACATCTGACCGAGGAAGTAATTTTTTTGCAGCAGTGAATAATCAGAACTATTTATAGTCTCTTTTACTGAAGATTCAAAGAGTATTCCTAACATGATTCGATTTATCATTACATCAGAGAGGCCACAGTCCCACATGAATTATTTGATTTCATGATACCTTAGCAGGACTAGATATAATCCAAGCTGTTGGTCACTGCTGACTTACAGACATCTATGAGCAGAACCAGGAACTTTCCTGACCCATGACATACATTCATCAGATTTGGTTATAAAGCAATTATCTGTCACAATCATGTAGGTATAGCCTCATCAAACCAGAAATGGGGTCAATACTAATTCGAAACTCCTTTTTCTTATTCAATGATTTATGAGTGAGTCTATATGCCTCCTTAACAATAACATACAGTTTGTTCCAAGAAATAAACATATTTCTTCTTCCAAAATCTTGGAGCTTACTCCCATGTAACCCTTTCTGAAAAGAGAAGCCTTAAGATATAAACTTGAAATTTGGGGTTGCAATGAAAGCAGACAGTTTTAATGTCATCTTTTATGAACTGTGTGCTAAAATGTGTCAGTCAGAAGAGAGAATATATATAATAAAGTCTTTCATAATACTACAAAACAACATTTTTGGTTTTATGTTTGGGATGATAAAGTTTCCTTTGCTTGGAATGACATTGAAGTAAACTACAAGAAAAGACTTTTAAGATTTTTTCCGACAAGGACAAACCCGTGACATTTTCACAAAGCCTTTGGTCTTAACCTTGGAAATCTGTCTGCTTAGGATAAAGGCAGCAAAAATGAGCAGCAAAGCTCTAAAGGTGGCTGCTATTATTAAATGCAAATATATTCATTAAGGAATTGGCCAAACAGGAAGGTATATTCCACTTTTAATGAATTTTTTAAACACACAAATATTCTGCAGGTGTGTGTTTGTAATTTAATTAACCTTTGCAGGAAGAACTGGTTATCAGTACAAACGGGCCTCGGTGATAAAATGCTATCGGACCTAAGCTTTCACCTTTTATTTTATATACATGTTATAAAAAAAGTTTAAATGCATCAAAAACTGACTTATTTCCACTTTCATGTTCTTTACCTTCCTACAGTCAATCAAAGCCCCAACGACATCCTTTCTATGGGATTGTTATCTTGTGGTGTAATATGAGAAATACCTCATATAATAGAATGCATGTCGTTTTTTAAAGATTCCTCTTCTAAAAACAATAAGACACTGGTGAGAAATTAAAATATATTTTGCATACAATATATTTTGTGATACACAGTACAGATACACCGACACATCTCCTGCCCACCTCCCCGGCAGACACAAGAAGTAAAACTGACTTATAAAATTTTTAAGCTTAAAATACTCCAGTGATGTTGGGGCACCTGGGTGGCTCGGTCGGTTAAGTGTCCAACTTCGGCTCAGTCATGATCTCACAGTTCGTGGGTTTGAGCCCCACGTTGGGTTCTGTGCTGACAGCTCAGATTCTGGAGCCTGCTTCGGATTCTGTGTCTCCCTCTCTCTTTGCTCCCCCCCTGCTTGCCCTCTGTCTGTCTGTCTCTCTCAAATAAACACTAAAATTTTTTTAATATTCTAGCGAAATTAATAAAATATACCCATTATTGTATGTGTTACAGGATTCTGATCACAATGCTATAAAATGGCTACATTCTTCAAACCATCATTGTTTGAAAATTAAAAATTAATGATTTCACCAACAGTTGCTTAGTCTACGAGGCTTACAAAAACAATCTGTTTTTAGCTAACTACCTCCCATGTCAACAAAAATTTTAACATTCCGACCAAAAGTAAGGCACAGATGTACACGACCGTGCAAAAGCATTCTTGCTGAAACTGCTTAGAGAAATAATGGAGGAAAAAAAAAAACTGGTGTCTTAACATCAGAGGTTCAAATTCTCTTTACACTGAAGCCGAACAGTATTCATTTTTAATACTTCATTTATACGGACAAAGAGTTTGGAAGATACAGTTAGTTCACTCTTCAAAATACATTTCCAAATGATCAAATATGTGTTCCTATATATTTGATGGGAACACAGTGGGAAAGCTTTCTGTAAACCAAACATGAAAACATTCTCACAACTTCATGGCTGCTTCCTACATATGCATCCTCAATTTTCATTTATATAAGTGGACATTATTTTCAGATATAGCTGGAAGTAAAGACAATCTCTTATTCTGCAGTTATTAACAGAAACGTATAGTTTGCAGTCACCCTCTTTCTCTACGAAATTAATGCCCCTTTCTGGAAGAAACACCCAATTTCTCATCTGTTAAGCTCATCATACAAGGTAGGAATACAAATGGCCTGTAGAAGACAGGACACTCAAATGCCACATCACCTATAATGGTAATAATAATATTGCTTCTCTCAAGTGGTCTCGACAGATAACCTTTTATTATTTTTTTAATCTACAAGAATTCTTTGACTTTCATTCTGCTAGTGATGTAGAAGTGACAAGCCAAAAAGTTAAATGAAGATTTTATGACACATGCAAGCCTCATATTAGTAAAAGAATTCTTTGAGACCAAAATGGCAGATACACCAAAGACCAAATTGAAGTAGAAATAAAATTAATAGCTTTTCATTCCTTATCGATAGAACTCATTAAGAAGTATTTTAACAAACGTATTGTGTGCGTCTTTTTTTTTTTTTTTAACATGATTAAGAATCGCACTCAAATCCTATCTGACAGCGTCAATGTTTCCAAAGCGTTTAAAACATTCTATTTCTCTCTCCTCTCTTTGGGAACTCAATTGCCTTGGCATTTTTCCTTGAAGTAATGTGTTTCTCAATGTGTCTTCAAGGTCACATCTGCATCTCCTCAGCAAGACTTACTGTCAGCTGAACAAGAAGTTCAGTGGGCACACGTATGAATACGGAAGACAAGAAGAAATAAAACCAGGAAGGCAAGCAAGAGATCTGGAGTTGCGTGCCGGCACGGTAATTACATATGCGTAACTATTTTCCTCACCTGTGCAACGAACTACTTGGTTAGATTTATTCTCTAGTGCCTCTGACCTCAAATACCATTACTTACACAGATTCGAGAATGTTCAGAAGTTACCCTTCAGGATGACTAATCTTCCTGATGGAGAAACAGATTGAAATTGAAATGGACATAGGCAGGAGAAAATGGAGGAGAAGCTTTTATAAGTGTGCAGGTCAAGATAACCTGGAAAGAGAAGAAAAGAAAATTTTATGGAAGCTAAGGAGGCAGAATAATTGCAACATAGGGACTGATGGAGTGTGAGTCAAAGGAGACAAAAGAAAACCAAATAAACACAACGCCGAGAGGTTAAGTGTGGGTGACCGAGAAGACAGTAGTTTAAGAGAAAAGCTGACTAGTTAAGGATTTAAAAAAAAAAATTATTCAGCCTATGTAGGTTGCAGATATATAGGCTGAAATGGTTAGCAGGCAAATGGCATCGCAGAAGAGACGTCAGAGAAGGAAGATAGAGTTGGGATCATCTTCATGGATATGACAGGTAGTGGTGGCACTGGATGGGACAGCCAGTGGGAAATTACAGGGCTGAATGCCCCAGAAACAACACAGAGGAGGACTTGGGGAGTTATTTTGATTGAGCAATAAAATAAGAGAAAACAGAACAAAACAAATCACACTACTTATATATTCTTTCTTTGTACTCTTTTGGAAAATTTTTACATTTTCATGCTGATTGAGTGTCAGGTCATTTACCGCAGATGTTTCGTAGGTGTTTAAAATACACGCACACATTGGATCTCCTACCCTTGTGTACTGGTTAATTTCCCTTCACGTTTTCTTACTCTAAGCTTTATGTTTTGGATCCTACTCTGAAACGCGTAAAGATTGCTGATAGCCTGGTCTCCACTGTCGACTGTATACGATATCACCAAGTATGGCCTTTTACCATTTTTGGCTTAATTTTAAACTGGCCTCATAGTAATTTTGTTACTCCAACAATTTTAAAGAATTTACTTGATATGCTTTTTTGGTACTTTAACTTTTCTTAGCCACTTTGGTTGAAGTCAGGGTTTCTCCACATTGGAGCTACTAACATTTTAGATGGTGTAATATTTGGTTTTGGTGGCTGTGCTGTGTGTTGTATAATATTTCGCAGCATTCCTGGGCTCTGCCCAGCAGATGCCAGGATCGCCCCCCGACTTCAGTTATGACTATCAAAACTTGTCTCCAGACATTGGCAACTGTCCCTTAGGGGAGGGGAGAAGAGAACGCAAAATCAGCCTTTAATTCCTCATCCTTTGAAAATGACTGTTTTAGAGATATCGCTTGTATCCAGCACCTAATTGGGATTTGCCACCTTTAAAGAAACTGAGTCATTTTTTAATTTTAATAAACTTGTCCCATTATAATCTTGATGATCTTATTCTGACCTCTAATTGTGTGTGTGTGTGTATCTGCTCATGTTCCCTATGCTTCCTACCTTTTGTTAAATGGAAGGACTTATTTTGTGTGCATGTGTGTGTCCCTGCTTCTGTGTGATATTTCCTTTTCCTGAGTTAGAAGGTTTCTGTGTTCCCTATTTTTAGTGGTTGTAATGACAACTTTGTATCATCTGTTGACACCTTTCCTATTTTAAAAAATTAGCTTGATTTTGCCTGTTGATTCTCCACTCTGAGCCGTGAAGAACATAGCATGCTCACATTTCCCTTCACCTTTGACAGGAGGTGTAATATTGCCAGATTTTTCAAGCTTACTTTTTTGCCCATTTCATTAGAATTGGGCAGAGCTAATATTCTCTGACCCCTGTATCTCAGAAATCTTCATAATTACCATTTACCTTTACTTTCCCCTATAATTTAAAAGTGCATATATGCATACTTCTATATATACGTATTTATATGTATATACATGCTAGTAACTATATGTAGAGTGCACATATAGACATATATAAAGAGACTTTAAAGTAAGTGTATGCATGTGTTTGCGTGTATATAGAGCATCCCATCAATTCATATTATTTATATTTCAGTGCCAGATGACAGTTTTTTTTTCTAATTTTTTTTAATGTTTATTTATTTTTGAGACAGAGAGAGAGCATGAATGGGGGAGGGGCAGAGAGAGAGGGAGACACAGAATCGGAAGCAGGCTCCAGGCTCTGAGCCATCAGCCCAGAGCCTGACGCGGGGCTCGAACTCACGAACCGTGAGATTGTGACCTGAGGTGAAGTCGGACGCTCAACTGACTGAGCCACCCAGGCGCCCCTCAGATGAAAGTTTTGCCAAACAAATGTCACTTCAGTTAATCCCTGGGTATCAAAGGATATATTATCCTTTGATAGTAATTCATTTTGCATTTAATGAATGAATAAGAAAAAAAAGAGGGACATGTCCCAGGTAAGGTATTTTAGGTAAATTCCCATAGAAGAATGTATTACAGGATGATGGGAAGACAGACAAGAAGTGAAGTATATTATATCCTGCGAAGAACCTGCTCTACTTCTCAGTCTGAATTCTTTCAATGCACAGAAAAAGACCAACCAACCACGGAAGAAGGCAGAGATGATAACCGTCAGCACAGGTGTGGCCCTATGAGTTGTGACACTAACGAAATGCTTCTCTTCGGATGGGTACAGATTTGGCGCCCTGATCCCATGTGCCCTGACCTCTCTTGACGGCCCCAGTCCCTCCCCAAGGAGCCTGACAATAGCACCACATTGAACGATGAAAGAATTAATGCCTGTCAGGGAGTACAGACAGGCCTCCGGGACCCTGGCCTACTGCTATAGCTTTCTGTTCTGTTGGTGGTGCCCGTGCTAATTATAAAGTTTAAAATTATCCCTGGAAGTAGCAATGGCTCAGAGTCCCACATCCTATTAGACAAGGACTCTCTGCGTGTGTCCATATCTATATATAGATCTAGATCTCTCTGAAAGTGGGCATGGTTCAGATCAACTTCCCATTAGACAGAAAATATACACACAGATACACACGTGTAATAGCAGAGCATAAAGAATCTTTCCTAAGAAAAGTTTTTATCTGCCTCACTTAGCATTAGCGTACAGCCAATATTTGATGCTTTTAGCTTGAAAAAAAATGTGTCATCTTCAAGAGTGAATCTGTGAAGTCTCCAGACACATCGTCCTTAGATCTGGCATTGTCATATATCACTCATTAAAATTTGTCCAAAGGTACAGGTTGCTCAAAACACACGTGTGACAAGAAGGTCATAGGATAAACTGACACAGAGAACTCGGAGAATTAGATCAGAGGACGTGAATATTGTGTTGGTGAAAAGAAATTACAGGAGAAATTTCCAAATGCTTCCATTATGGCTTTTTTGTTTAAGGAGCAAATTCCCGGGGCGCCGGGGTGGCTCAGTCGGTTAAGCATCCGACTTCAGCTCAGGTCATGATCTCACGGTCTGTGAGTTGGAGCCCCGCATCAGGCTCTGTGCTGATGGCTCAGAGCCTGGAGCCTGCTTCCAATTCTGTGTCTCCCTCTCTCTCTGCCCCTCCCCCGTTCATGCTCTGTCTCTCTCTGTCTCAAAAATAAATAAACGTTAAAAAAAAAAATTTAAGGAGCAAATTCCCTCAAGACACTGCTACAGATTAAGAGCTTGGGTTCTGGAGTTACTTAAGGAAGCTGATAACCTGCAAAGCCCTGGCAGAGAGAGGCATTAAATACAAGCACTTTGGGGGAAAATGTACATCTTAATATGCACGAAGCTAATGTAAACAGAGGATGTAAGGAAATCAGTACTTCGGTTTATCTTGAAAACAGTGCAATTCAAGAAAGCACCATTGTGATTGATCCTTTTTCCAATGTGCTCTTCACATTTTCTGTTATTTTACATCAAAGAAAACAACACATATCCCATCTGCTCTTTTATTCCAAGTTTTGGAAGACAGGTATGGGGAATTCTTCAATTTATAAACAATACGCTTTTTATCATCTGCAAATTTCACTTTATTAATAAGAGGCAATTCATGACTAATATAAATTGAAATATCAGTGTGATCCACTAATCTGATGATTTTTAAACTTAATTTCTTTTGCTCTTTAGTATTCCCTCTGATACCCTGCAGTAGACACCTTTCAAGTTGTGTGAACTATTTTAAATATTTTTGCATCATACATGAGACGAGAAGAACAGTATTATTCCAAACTTAAAAACAGAGAAACAAAAGACAGTACGAAATACAAGCTCCATTTCTGATTAGTAAGGAAAAGACACCTTATGTTACTTAATGTTTAAAATCAGAACCATTCAGAAAAGACGACAAAATTGTTCATTCGTTTCAGGTACTAAAACCCTCATGGTGACTTTAACATCATCTCAGCCATTTATTCAGCCACTTGACAGAAATCAATCATCAGCTCCCAGCTTATGGCAAACACATGAATTTTTGTAAATAACACCAGACAAGGCTATTCTTGGTGAATGTATTATAGCTCTAAGTTAAGGGCAGGGTCTGGTAAAGAGAAAGATCTTTAAAAGAGCCACATTACGGTGAAAGCGGGTGACATATATAGCAGAAAAACAGGACAACTATGACTTTTTGCATAAAATACACCTTTTGCATTATTTAGATACTGCAATATCCCGTTAACAGGAAACATGGGGCGGTGAGGCAGCAAAGAAGCAAATGAGAGTTTACAGAGAAACATCCTTCTCTTTGGAGTCAAGTAAATCAATTGGGCGCCCAGAATGAACACAACTCAGGTCCTCTTAGACTGCTCTTTTCCTGGCTATCTACAAAAGTCCCAACACCTTTAAATTTGAACATTACGGTGTCAGTTCTTTTTTTTTTTTTATTTTATTTTTTAAAATTTTTTTTTCAACGTTTTATTTATTTTTGGGACAGAGAGAGACAGAGCATGAACGGGGGAGGGGCAGAGAGAGAGGGAGACACAGAATCGGAAACAGGCTCCGGGCTCTGAGCCATCGGCCCAGAGCCTGACGCGGGGCTTGAACTCACGGAGCGCGAGATCGTGACCTGGCTGAAGTCGGACACTTAACCGACTGCGCCACCCAGGCACCCCTACGGTGTCAGTTCTTACGGAAGATTCCCTACTCTTAAGTTTCTAGAAGAAGAGGGGAATGTAGGGTAGCATTCATTTCTCTACCACAAGGCACTGCTCTCTTAATAATTCAGAATTTCACTGTCTGGGGGGGAAATGGATACCTCCTCCTAGTGAATGGAATCCTGCCCCAGCTTTGGACTGATAGAGTCTATACATCATCACACTTGATGAGTAGGATTCAAAATCTAGTATTGCTTCAGCTAAGGCAATTAGGAAGATGGTTTTTAAGTGACGTTACTCTGTCAAGATTTCCAGGTCTCCCTAAGAGCGCTTGGAAAATTGCTATCACATAAATGTGGCAGGAGCAACTATGGAAAAAGTAAATGCCATAAAAAGGGATTATTTTAAAAATTACCTCACCTGTCGATTTCCTAGGAGAGACACACAGTGAGATGAAAGCTAAGGGAAGGTCACAGGCTGATTTACATGCAAGGACTTAAAAATTAGAGAAAGTCATCAACAACCCAGTTCTTATTCATTAAAATCATTTCATTTAGGAAATCTCTAAGAGGCGGATGGAACGTTTGAGCCCATGAAAGATGAATTTTTGTCATGTTGGCCCTAGAGGGGAGCTGAGTCAGAGAAATAAAGTAATTATAAACCAGTCATCATTTTTCCACCCCATCCTTGAGGAGAGTGCAAATTATTGCCTAGAATTTTCTTCTATTGCATTATACACCAGGGTGTGTGTGTGTGTGTGTGTGTGTGTGAGGGTGTGTGTGTGTGCGTGTGTGTGTGTCCATCCTTGAAAACCACTATGTTGCTTCCCCAGAATAAATTCCCAGTGGGGTCAGGGGTGATTTCTTGTTCATGCGTGACCGTATTTGCTAAATGATTCATTTCCAAGG